CCTCTTGGGACCTGTGATGTGTCCCAGGAGGTTGTGGATGGGGGAAGAGAGAACCTACACTGGGATGGCATAGATGCTTCCAGCGGACAAATCTAGGTACCTGCTACCCCCCTCCCCCCCCCCCCCTCGAAAAAAAGTTCCAAAAGTGAAAGGGGTTGGGGGAAGAACGAGGGTCAGTGGAACGTGAGGTTCCACATTAAAGTTTATCTGCGGTTAGGCCCCTCCTCCCCACTGGTGTTTACCTGACCCCTTAGACATTACATGCTTAAATACTTACCTGAATCCATGATCATATAATATGTGTTGGATCCCAAACCTTCTATTTTCTGCAGAGTACTAAGGTCCTTCTTTGGGTGCTTCTGTTGCTGTCCAACTAATGTGGACACTTCCTATTGGCAGTCAAGTAACAGGGTCTTCCTAGGCTCAGGAAGATTTCAGCTGAGTGATGACATTAAAACAATCTACTGGCAGTTCTGGTGCACTGTACTGCATTGCTGGATCACCAGTCAGTATTCCTAGAAGACAGTTTTAGAAGCCTTATTTATTTTTAAATACATTTCAGAATGGTGGGAGTGGGGGTGGACAATCATTTTTACAGAGATTGTCTTTAAAGACATCAGAACTGAAGAAGCTATACTTAAAAGGAAGGAAGAGGGGCAAACGACTAATTACCAATATTGCCTATGGGCTTCCTTCAGCTGATCATTTTCCCATTACTGATTTACCATGCTTTGTTTTACACTGTGTTGCTTTGTGGGGGGTGGCTATCTTAGCAGAGGCAGGGCTTTAATTCCTCAAGTATGAACGGTTTCCCTGTCCCCCCCATGACTAATGATCAAGAACCATATGCACAGATCCACGGATAATTATGAAGCAGAAATATACGGATTATATCACTGCAGGTCCTCAGGTACAGCTTTCTCTCCAGGAAAGGAGAACAGTAGTGATAATACCAACATCCAAGTCTTGTGAAACCAGCGCTTAGAGGCACCAGTGCTTTAGATCTCAAACTGCAGATATATAGTTATGAGAGCCTAGGCACCATCACAAGCCACACAACCTTTTTAGGATTTCGCTTAGGTACAATTAACATTTCTGTGTTCTATAAGATAGAAAGTCAGTTTCAGTGTTTGGTAGATACTTGATGCTTTTACTACCTGTTATTTTTATTATTTTCTTATATCACTCCTGGTTCTTTTGATGAGATATCTAATCTGATTGCTATAAATGTTGCACTTGATATTTGTTTCATATTTATAGAGAATACTACAGGAGGTGCTGGGACAGGCAAATGTGTGTAATTATAACAAGGAGATGCCATTTCTGGAGTATCCAAGATATAAAAGAAGCCAGGGACTGACTCAGTACACTAGGTTTCACCCATGGCTAAAATGTAAACATGTGGGTGGACTGACCCTTTAACATAAACCAATATTTACATTTCACCCTTTTAATCCTACTAGAATGCATCTGATATTGTGTGACAAAAAGGGTATTCAGTATCTTGATCTCTTCTACTCATTGGAGGCTATTTATTTAGTCAATATTTGTGTGTGCAATATGATTCGAAAAGATACAAAAGTCAAATGCACAAAGTGACAATATGGCAATCGTGAATGTAATGTCTCTGATGCTGATTGAACAAAAATCAGTGAAAGAGTCAACTTTGTCCAGTCTTACGTATATATATTCTACTGTGTTGCATAGTCAGTTGGAAAATGGCTGGGGTGAAACAAATTGGACTATTACCTATCTAAGCTTGACTGCTGTACTTTTAATGAACATATAATGTATGTTTTTGCTTTTAATGATCAGATGAGAAAGTTCTATGCCTTTTGGATACAGTAGCTTGTAAAATTTGATCACTGCGGGACTTCTTTAAAGTGTCATTAAACCCAAAAGATTATAAACTGTCAATATATGCTACATTACATTATGTGCATACTCACTTTGCCACTAGAGCATTGATTTTCTGTAGATTGCAAAAGACCAGGTTGATCCTGCTGTTCACTTTCCTTCCTTCCTTGTCTGTGCCCTCGCTGCAGCTTAGACCATTCCTTGCCACATCTACTGACCATGCTCCAGTTTCAGTTCCCTTCTAAGCTGTTTGTTTTCTCCTTTTCTTATCAGCTCATTTGACTATAGAGTCACACACGTGGGTGTGTACACAGTAGTAAATGACAGTTCCCTTCCTCCTCCTCCATGCTGTCATATTGCTAAACACTATGGGGCTGGAGTATACTGTATATGCTGATTGATGGAGGCTTCACCTCCCTGTTAGTCCCAGCACAGCCTTGGATTGGCAAAACCATCTCCAGATATATTTACAGTGTGAACAAAGGGAAAGCTATTTTCAGTCAACTTAAACTCTTCCTACACCATCTTATAGCAAACAAAATTACTTTGAAATATAGATTTTAAATAAGCTTTAAAACACTTTGTTGTTACAAATTATTTATTTTGATTCTCTATTCTGAAAGTCTTTTTTGTGTTAGGTGACTGGAACAGTACCAATCAGTTCTGTTCAGACACAGATTCATAGTCCAGACGGCCACCTTTCTAGTATAGAGCATACATCAGCAGAACACTAGAAACTTGTCCCTCATATCTTTCCCTTAGGACAGTAGAGACCTGGGAAATGTCGCGTGATCTCTGAACAGCAATGATTAAATAAGGTACTCAAATGCTTTTTTATACTAAAATAAATAGAGTGGCACAACCTGTATACATAAATAGAAGGAACAGGGGCAATTAAACAATAGATAAATTAAACACTAGGTAGATTTACTAAAATTGGTGTACTCAGAATCTGGTGCAGCTGTGCATGGTAGTCAATACACCAGATTTTTCACTCTCCAGTTATAGTAAATAAATCTCATATCGTTATGTAGCACCCTCCTAGTTAGCTAGGAGGAGCTAGAATCCTGATTGTTAGAGAGGAAGGCTGAGTAGCAGCTTGGGTGTAATAGTCAGGAGTTCAAATTTGGGTCAGGAGCTGAGAGGCTCTGGGGGCTAGCCCCTCTGGAATTTCCCCCTGCTCTAGAGCTTTGGAGGAAGGCCTAGAGGCAGTGGGTGGATCTGAGGAGATGCTGGCATGTACTCTGGAGAGATTCTTGCCAATCCCCAACAGGAGGCTTGGCAAGGGGCTAGGACAACCCCTTAAAAGTAAGTGAGCCTGCTCAGCCCACAGGAGAGTTCTGGTGGAAAACAGTGAGGAAAATGTGAAGCTGAAGGCAGGAGCATGGGAGGGAGCCCAGATGGAGAGAGGAGCTCACCTACAGGCAGTAGAGCTGGAAAAGAGGAAAGCTCAGGACTTCACTGGCCCCCAGAGTGAGGACCACCTGTACAGTAGGGAAGGAGTGGCCCAGCTAAAAGGAGAGGATCTGAGTGAGTACCCCTGCACCCCCTAGGCAGATAGGGTAAGGAGCATTCTGGTGGGAAACCAGATTTGCTACTTACTTGGAACTGTCCACTTCTTAAAGAAGCAGGCACCAGATCCCCTGTTCAGGGATACCTTCAGATTGCTGGGTGAATGAAGAGGAGTTAATCTAGGATCTGGGGTGGCACATTAAGGAGATGCTGGCTAGCTCTCCTACAGAGACTGTGTTGCAGTGGAGGCTTGTACATAGTTCCAGGAAGTTGTCCTTCCTCATCGGTTCATCCTGTACATCCCTAACCCTACCCCAGTTCAAATCTCCTAAATAAAAACAACAAAACCAAAGCTCAAGGACTGATCTCTGACTCTGGATGCAAGCTTGTGTGAAGATGCATGTTGCCTGGCTGTGCACGACTATAGGGGGACCCAAAACTTCAGCGACTCCTAAGGGGTAGTGCTACAGTTAGTATCACTTTAAATATCATTTTGAATTCAGTACTGCCTATTAGCTTTATCTGTGTGTGAGGTTATAGAAAGGATAACATTTTGCTGGCATAACTTACATTGTAAGTACAAGACATTTTCTCCTTTTTACAATTCTGGACATTATGGTGTGGTTTAGTGCCCAGAGTTATTGTGTAGCAAACTGTTTTCCTCAATCTGACATCTGACCACCTCAATCGGTCCACTGGAAGTCATTACGATGATCCTTTTTTCATGTTTTGGCAAGAAAGGTGAATTACACTATACCAAACAATTGTTAATGGTAATTATTAATATTATCGGCACCACTGTAAGGCCTCATTCACATGGATGCTGTGGTCCAAACAGGGCGAATGGACCATTTGTTTATGTGACCAGAGGCACTCACAGCCTATGTTACTCTATAGAGACGCAGCCTCATGTCCTAATTTCACAGGCATGCAGGGGCAGGTGAATGGAACAGAACACACACTCTCTGCACTCAGGGCTGTTTTCTCACCCCTGCACACCTGTCAAATTATAATGAATGGCTATGCCTGAACAACTGCTATGTCCCCATGGAGTAACATAGGCTGCTATCTTTGACTCCACTGGAATGACTCCCTTAACCTTTTCTCTGTGACACCAGGATAACAAATTAGGTGGACTAGTGGTGTATCAATAGTCATAGCAGCGTACACTGCTTCTATGGGGCCTGTGGTAAGAGGGCGACCCCAATAAGAAAGCTATTAGGAAAAACTAAACTTTGACGTTTCCAGTATAGTAGGGTTGAGGTCAGACCTTAGGATATCAAATCACAGACCCCTCTGTGCAGTAAGAAGCAACCACTTAGCTCCTTTAGCAGTTTAGATTTACTGTCCTCTGAACTTCTGCTATAGACTGGAATTAACCCCATATGCCTAATGCATTGAAAAAATCCCAGAGATACTCCTCAACTAAAACCTTATAGGACGGCTGAGGTTTGCAGGTCTACAAAAATGTTTCAAGAAGTTTGTGCAAGAACTATAGAGTACATGTACAAGAGTATTAATAATTTGTCATACTATAAAATATGTTTCCAATATGATGGCAAACAGTCATGTGAAGTGCTGGGTACTCTTCTCCTTCACTTCTACTCTGATCCAGGGCTATCCTCTAATTATACAAAAAGGGGTGCTGACATCATCTGTGCACAGCGGTGGACTGACCATTTGGAAACTCGGTCAGTAGGGGGCCCCATGAGATGCCCCTGGTACCTTTTTGATAGGCTTTTTTGATTTTGGGCAAGGGCACAGGGGCCCCATGATCCCCAATTGCCCGGGGGCCCCATGAGTTGTCAGTCCGCCCCTGTCTGTGCATTAATATATAGTGAAGGAAGGGCGCCTTGGTGATGCCCCCTGAGAGGGCGGTGCTGTAAGGTAATTCCTGTACAGCGACTTGCACATATATATGCTTATGCGCGCAACATCATGCATAGATAAAAGCACAGATGCATTGCTAATAAAAACGAGTATAGGGTCACACATGCGCAAAAGAATGCACGCACACGGGAGCATGCCCACAGTTTCTGGCACCAAATAGACTATTTAAAGGAGGCTCTTACTCTCGGTCAGTGCTGACTGGGCTTCAGCTATCTCCTTCTGTCCTGCTGTATCCTCTGTGTTATCCATTGCTGACCTGGCTTTCCATTGACTTGTCTATACTTCTGCTTATCAGTTTCTGAACCTGGTGTACTCCTTACCACGTTTCTGTCTGATGTTTGGGTACCTCATTGCCTGCTCGTTTCTGTCCCTGGCTATCACTGTGACTGCTTATGGCTCCAGTTTGGCTTTACAGTCCTGCCGAGTGCTTGCCTTGGCTGTCTATGTAAGGGATTTCCGGCAAGAAGAATCGCGATCGGGAATGCGCATGCGCATAGGATATCCCGCAGAAGAATTGCCGGTTGTGCACATGCACGGCGAAAATTGGCGCTAGATGGCCCACTTAAGGAGTGCCTCTGCTCAGGTTCAGTGCTGACTGGTCTTCAGCTCCCCCTGTGTCCTGCTTGCTCTTGTAAGATTTTGTTGCTGACCCGGCTTGTTCCTGACTCAACTGCGATTACTCTCCTGCTTCTGGTTCCTGACTTCGGCTCTGCTCCTGACTTTGGCTTTTCCTTCTGATTCTGTACCACGCTGCCCGGCTATCCTTGATTCTGCTCCAGTCCTGTGTCCTGGCTACCTACCTTGCTCTGCTGCACATCTGGCAATCCACAGAACCTACCTCATCTATATCTATTTGTGCCCAAATCAGAAGATACTCTGCCTACCAAGGTCATCATCTGCAAGAGTCGCAAGCAACAACCACTGGCGCTCTTGTCCCCCTGGTCCCTAGACTCCCTCTGTTCCAACCTCAGCGGGGTCAGGGCTTGTGACACAAGTGAGGCTGACCTCGTCAATTCAGTCTCCCGTCAGGTACATGACAGTCTACTGTAACAGCTCCAGTTGTCACAGTGTGTTCCAGCCTCACGCTTGTTAGAAGTTCCAGCAAGCCACGCACCCAGATCTTGCAGCTCTTTTAACCACAGCTGGTCATTCCTGCATCTCCTCTGTTCCTGACCGGATGCCCTGCCTGATCTACCGAGTTTACACCTCCAGCCGCAAGCTCTACAATCAACATCTGCAGGCACTTGTGTTCCTCCTGTCCCTCAGCACCATCTGTTCCACCTACAGTCTGGCCTGGGCTGGAGACACAAGAGAGGCCGACCTGGTCAATTCAGACTTCTGGAAACAGAAGCAACATCTCCTGCGCTCTACAACCCAGAGCAACGGTGGATGGATGGAAAAGGAACTTGAGAAAATTCGACCACCAATGCATGAAAGATTGTGCGGCTCTAAACAAGGCTGGGGAAGTCCGACCAGTACTGCAAAGTGAAACAAAAAGAAAGCGCACCAACCTTGCGCATTACCTCAGTAAACTGTGATTTTATTAAATTGAGTATTATACTCACAAACAACAAAGTAAACGAGCATATAGGTCCTCAACGGAACTATAGGAGTGTAGAACCAGTGGCAAACACCTCACAAGGGCAGACTCTCAAAGTAAGGCTGACGCGTTTCAAAGGGGTCCCTTCTTCATCAGAGCTCAGTTTTCATCAGAGCTCACAGTTTACTGAGGTAATGTGCACGGTTGGTGCGCTTTCTTTTTGTTTCACTTTGCAATTCAGACTTCTATCAGGTACGTCACAGATCCCATGATGCCGTTCACTCCCAATATCAATCCTCACCTTTCTGGGCTCAATGATGCCTTAAATCATTCAGCCTAGAAGACTGAGGACATCTTGTGGTCAAGAAGAAGTACTGCAGGATACAGACAGATTGAAGGTGAGTATTGCACCCTGAGCTGCTTTTTTTTATACACTGGCTGATATACCAATGTGTCCATGATATACCTCATGTACCAATAGTCTGGCTATAATATGAATGTATGTAGTGGATCTGAACATACTAAATATTTAATTCATAAGTAGTTGACATTTTTATCATTTTATTACATTTGCACATAAATTCTTGATCATAGTCTTTTTTATTTCTTTAATGTTATAGTTACAGTTTGGGAAAACAGTTATTTCTGCATTGATATTGACTACTTTGTAAAAGTGTGATATGTATGTTTTGGCACAGGGTCATAGAAAGGACGTTGTGTAGTGGGACATAATGCAGAGATGAATAACACCATGAGGGAAGGGGTGAAGAATTCCAGCCATGAAAGAAAGCTTCCATTTGTTTACATTAGGAACCAAAGGGATAGGATTTCTTATTTTAATGAGATGGCAACATAACTCATCCTATGTCTCTTTAAAGAAAAATCTAATAAATCATAAGACATAAAATGCTAAATCCATCCCACCAACGCAGTCACACCATATAGGATCAGACTAATCATCTGTAAAACAGTCTCTAAATCAGATATATTATTAGAATTGGTAGGTAAATGCTTACATACTGTATCTGCATCTTTTTATATTATTAAAAATGCTATATGCTATAAACATTCTATACTTTGCCTAGTCTAAGGCAGACCATAGATTATTCAATTTTCTTTCCTTCCACCTGTGGTGGAAGGAAGGAAAAATGCTTGATCCCCCTAACACAGTCAGTGTAGATTGGGGAATCCCTCCCCCAGCACCATTGTGTTCTGCCAGCAGGAAGCCTTCCCGGCTGAACACAATAAGTGTTGCCAACCAGCGGTGTATTTACCACGAGGCAAACAAGGTATTTTCCTGGGGCGATAATTGTCAATTTGGAAGTGGCCAGGGGGGTTTTGGTGGGCAGTCGTGGTGGATGGTGGTGGTTGCGGTGAGGGGGGTGGCCGATTTTAGTGTTGCGTAGGGCAGCAAAAGGGGTAAATACACCACTGTTGCCAGCTATTGCCCCGGAGCCAATAATTCGAGAAAAGGCTGGTTGTACACAAGTCGTTGGGCCCAGGTCGATTGATGGATCAGGGTGATCATACATGGATCGAAATTCAGCCAGTCCCTGCTGCACCAACCGAATTTCAATCCATGTATGGCTGGCTTAAGATTAGTGCACTGCAAGCAAGGAGAAGCATTTACTTCTCTCCCCCATCTAAAAGACTGCAACATGTTAGTTTTGTAGCAAAGAAAGAGGCTGAAGCAGAGGCTGATCTGTGTTAGACATTTGTGAGCACAGCTAACAACTACACAGACACCACAATTTACGTACTTGTTTCATCTCAGTCCAGGTAGTAAATGGGGATGTATGACAAACTCTCGACCCAGGGCACCGTAACACCTAGCAATAGCTCTGGTCATAAAGGTTTTACAAGATGATTTTGATCTACAATCTTATTGCTATAGTTGCTAGGTACTTATGGGAAAGAATGTATTAATTTACATTTGCAATGATTGCTGAAACTTTGGCTTAAAAAGCATTTTAAATGTTTTTTTTTTTCTTCTGAATAATGTTTTTCTAAATAGATTGCATTTAATCATTTTCTTTGATGGAGAGTACATAGTGTGGCCAAGATAAGTAATTTTTAGAGTTTGTTGCTGCTGTAGATCTCAGCTGAGGACTGGATGCTTGAGTTTTCAGTGCTCCAGGCACTGTGAATATGCCACTACAATGTTTATTTAGGGATTAGGCTAGGATTTATAATAGAATTAGGGTCAAGGGATACAGGGTTCAGATAAAAGGTTAAGCCAAGCCAAACACTTTTCTTCCAGGGTGGGGAAGAGTTAGAACTCCTGTCAAGTTTTATTTCTATCCAGGGCTCAGTTAGAGAGATTTCCCCTCGCTTCCTGTGCTGATGACAACAATTTCACCAGAAAAAATGTGTGGGAAAATCTGCAACAAGGACAGACAGCAACAAAAATCTGACACTAATCAGGATTAAAGTAGAACTAAAGGCAAAACATTATTAACATTTTGGATATAGTAAAGGGAGGTTATAAGTTCTGTTTTTTTCCCCATTAGGGAGATTTTCCTTCACTTCCTGTACCATGGCTACAAAGTGATAGGAAATCCCTCCAAATTGAGAGAAATCCCTGGTGGTCACCAGCGTCACCAGAACTGGTGTCTTCATTGGAAGAATTTCCCTCAATTCCTGTTCTGGTAACCACTTAACATTTGGGATTTTTTCACTTTTTTGTTTGGTGATTATGGTCATTTTGTATTAAATGACGTTGCATGTCTAAGGCCCCTTTCACATGGGCGTTCCGTTTTTCATCAGTTCAGTCACGTTTACATCACTTTCTCATCACTTTACATCCATTTTCATCAGTTTAAATCCTTTTTTGTCTGTTTACATCCATTTTTGTCCATTTACATCCGTTTTTCATCTGATTTCCATCCGTTTACATCCATTTTTGGCCATTTCCATCCGTTTTTTTTTGTCCGTTAAATCCGTTTTCATCCAATTTCCATCCGTTTTACATGTTTGTTTACATGTTTTTCGTCTGTTCCATTGTCTTTAACAGACAAAAAAAACAGGTGTTAACGGATGCAGACATTAACGGATGTAAACAGATAATCATCCGTTTACATCCGCTAGTCCATAGAAATACATGGGTGTCCGTTTTTCAGCCCTAAACGGACAGATGAAAAATGGGCATACGGAATGCCCATGTGAAAGGGGCCTAAAAGGTGTGTAAACAGAAGCACTATACGGACCATTACATGTGTTTTGATTTTTTTCAAATAACCTTTTTGCCAGCCAGATGCTGTGTATATATCAGTATTTTATTACACCCAGGATTAATCTATGAATTAAAGCAGTATTACACCCAAAAGCACATATTTATTACATTGCAGCTTAGTGATTTGCATATGTGATGGCTCCAATGATTTTCTTTTTTAGGTTTTCTTTCTTCCATTTTCACCTGGTCATCAAGCCTGAAGTCTGTTTTTTTTCTTTGCAAAACAACAAGCTCTCTTCCATCAGTATCAGGTTTCAGGCATGACTCAAACCATTTTCCACTGGCAGCGGTGCTTACAATGAGCTTTTATTTATTTATATAAAACCTTTATCCCAAAAT